ACAGCTGGCCTTGGGATGTCGGGTGTTCCCCATGGCTGGAAATACTCATGGACAATCTGACCATCTGTCAAGGGCATTACATATGGAATTTCTGCTCCATTTAGAGGTTGGACTAGGTACCAATTAGAATTCTTGGTTGCAAATAGAAACTGATTCAGGTTAATTCAAGCAGAACAAGAATTTATAGGAAGGATATTGGGTAGAACCTGCTGTAAAGCTGGAGCCCCAGGCTTAGAAATTGGGCTGGAACACTAAAAGGATGAGAGGCTGGGCAAGAGAAAACAACCTATATCACACTGCAGGCAGAGTCTAATATGAATAGTCTTTACTCTCTTGACATTTTCCCCCAAATAGGAAGGAGATTCCAGCCAAAGAAGGACAAAAGTCTGTGTTGTTAATTCTAAAACTGGGTCAGTTCATAAGGGAAGGATCAGATGGTCTGATTTTATAGATGATTCTAGAAAAAACTCTAGAGTCTAAACCATGTGCATCTGCTGTTCCTGCATCTTGCATAGTGGTGTTCTGCGAGTGCCTGAGGAGAACCAACTTTCTCTCTTCCTCTTCTTGTTTTTGTATTTAGCAGGAGAGCGGGTCTGCCTCTGCCCGCTATGGTTTTTTCCCCTAAAATGAGATTATATTTTAATTTGACTTGAGGTTTCTTTGTTTTCAGCTAAAGTGTTATTCTTAAAATATAATTTCCTCTAAGGTGTTGTCGACCTTTGCTGAAAATTGCAAAATGAGTGAAGTGCCACACTCTGAATGTAAGCTGGCCTCTAAATATAGACTGGCTATCAATCTCAGAATTCGTAATCGGAAAAGTCATACATGGTCCTTCTATTTATATCAGTAAGATGACTTTATACTTTCTGAGAGTTGGGAAGAAATTGAGAAATACCACTTTCTAGTCAAACATTCAGGAAATTTATTTAATTATTGGAGGCTCCAATAAAAATAGAGGAAAACAGTCATACATGGTCCTTCTATTTATATCAGTAAGATGACTTTATACTTTCTGAGAGTTGGGATGAAATTGAGAAATACCACTTTCTAGTCAAACATTCAGGAAATTTATTTAATTATTGGAGGCTCCAATAAAAATAGAGGAAAACAGCAACAGAGAATATTACCCTTTTCAGCACTTTTTTGTAAATTCCTAAAATCAGATATGGTGTGAATTCTCCTGACAGACTAGGCAAACACATGAGCCAACTCAGGATCAAGTTGGCTGATCAGAAGCTGACTGTGGCAGAAGACAGGTGGAAAAGGGTTGACTGAGTCTTGTGAAAACTTACAGCCTAAAATAATTTACTTTTATTTTACCTCCCTCACCCCAACCCATTTCGTATCCTCCTTGGACAAGGCTAGCTTGGTATTCTTCCCATGTATGCCTCTTTGGGACCCTCTTCATCTTGCACACCCTCCACTGGTCCATAGAATACATAAAAGACATATACATCATTTTCCCCTTTAAATGTAGAGGTCGGCCCCGAATACCTGATAATACCCATACGTAGCTTAATGAGATAAATAGTGCTCAACTTTCTCTCTTCCTCTTCTTGTTTTTGTATTTAGCAGGAGAGCGGGTCTGCCTCTGCCCGCTATGGTTTTTTCCCCTAAAATGAGATTATATTTTAATTTGACTTGAGGTTTCTTTGTTTTCAGCTAAAGTGTTATTCTTAAAATATAATTTCCTCTAAGGTGTTGTCGACCTTTGCTGAAAATTGCAAAATGAGTGAAGTGCCACACTCTGAATGTAAGCTGGCCTCTAAATATAGACTGGCTATCAATCTCAGAATTCGTAATCGGAAAAGTCATACATGGTCCTTCTATTTATATCAGTAAGATGACTTTATACTTTCTGAGAGTTGGGAAGAAATTGAGAAATACCACTTTCTAGTCAAACATTCAGGAAATTTATTTAATTATTGGAGGCTCCAATAAAAATAGAGGAAAACAGCAACAGAGAATATTACCCTTTTCAGCACTTTTTTGTAAATTCCTAAAATCAGATATGGTGTGAATTCTCCTGACAGACTAGGCAAACACATGAGCCAACTCAGGATCAAGTTGGCTGATCAGAAGCTGACTGTGGCAGAAGACAGGTGGAAAAGGGTTGACTGAGTCTTGTGAAAACTTACAGCCTAAAATAATTTACTTTTATTTTACCTCCCTCACCCCAACCCATTTCGTATCCTCCTTGGAGAAGGCTAGCTTGGTATTCTTCCCATGTATGCCTCTTTGGGACCCTCTTCATGTTGCACACCCTCCACTGGTCCATAGAATACATAAAAGACATATACATCATTTTCGCCTTTAAATGTAGAGGTCGGCCCCGAATACCTGATAATACCCATACGTAGCTTAATGAGATAAATAGTGCCCCTAAGGTTATTGAAAACATCAGTCTCCTGCCCTCCCCGCTCTGGATTCCTGTCGCTCTGGNCCTAAGGTTATTGAAAACATCAGTCTCCTGCCCTCCCCGCTCTGGATTCCTGTCGCTCTGGGGCATCTACTTTCAGCTCTTTTAGTATTGTTTGCCACTTGTTTATGAATAATATGTATATGCTGTTATTTTGTTATTCTTTTAAGACAAGGTATTACCTATTGATGTCCTCATAAAAATTTAGCTCTTATCCTCTACTCTTCCCTGTCTTCTCTTCCCACCCTTGTAATGTATTTACATCTATTTTTATTTAACTACCAAATCAATATTTACTACTTACATTGGTATAACTATAGCCTTCATAATATTCTGTAATCGGGTAATTTATTGTATAACTCTTGGGTTTTCAATTAGTTAATAATTGCCTTGTTTGGTTAATTTTATGTGACCCAAATCATTTATTCATTTTTAAACTGTCTTACAGAACTGAAAATCCCCCCTGATTAGATTAAATCACATTGTCTGTTCTGTCAGTTTCATCTTCCTAGAAGCATTCACCATCATTCAGGTGTTTACTGGATCTCGTGTGTTTTTTGCCTTCTTGATTTACCACCTCACTTTGGTGGATGGAGCACATTATCCAGTAGCTTTTACAGAAAAGATACATGGGAGGTAAATTGTTGTCTGAAAGTTTCCTAATTCTAGCTTCAAAAGGAATTGATAGTTTAATGTAATTCTATATTGGAAATATTTGTTTGTTTGTTTGTTTTTCTCAGTTTGCTGAAGGCTCTCTTCTAGGTTATGGTCTGGCTTTTGAGAAGCTTACATTTTGATTCCTGATCCTTTGTGGGTGGCCTGTTGTTATTTTCTGAAAGCTACTAAGTGCATCTCCCTTGCCCTGGTTTCTGAAATTCCACAGTGATGGATCTTGGCATGGATCCTTTTAGTTCTGAAGTCTCACAGGCATGGGCTTTATTGTGGGTCTCTGATCTCTTCTGGACTGGGGACTCTGTAGGTCCTTTCAATTTGGAAATGCTTGTTTTTTTCAGCTTTGGAAAAGTTTTGATATTATTTCTTAGTTACTTCCTGACTTTGTTGTCTCTGTTCTTGTTTTCTGGAATTTTTCTAGTTGGTTTTCTCATTCTCTTTTTGCTCCTATTTCTGATCCATTTTTCTTCATTCTTCCTTCTGAAGAATTTTTCTGCTTTCTTCTATAACCCTCTTATTTCTTTTTCTTTTTTTTCGGGATCAAAGGGTCTCTTTCTCTGAAGAAATTCTTCGCGGATACTTTTATAGCTGTTTCATGGATGTAACTTTTCCTTATCTCTGAGATTCTTAATTATAAGATTTTTTAAAGTTTTCTTTTATTCTCTGTAATCTTTTACTCTCTAAACCACTTTCTCACCTTTTTCTTTCATTCCTGTTCACATTAGAGACTCTCCTCAGACGTCAGGTGACCCTTGGTCTTCATGTCAGATCGAGGCAGTAAAAGCTGACTGTGAACTGGCTGTGCTTTGTCGTCTGTCAAGCCTCACTTTTAGGGAGTCTGGCAGAGACCTGGGCATTTCACTGGAGAACCCGAACTGCAGTATCTTTTATCTTGTGTAGCTTGGCTTCCCTAAAGAGTAATCCTCAAATTTGGAAAATGGGGGAGTGGTTCAGCATTGCAGCTGGCATTCTGGAAGCTGAACGGTGGAAACAGAGGAAAAGGCGTTGGTGTCTTACTAGTCAGGGTGTGAAGTTTTAATTATTTTCCGTTCTCAGCAGTACTCTTTACCTCCTTGTCTGACAATGCCTGGTATTTCCAAACCCAGACCCTTGATGGTGTGCCATTTTATGGATGTCTAGCCTTCTGTAGTGTGGAGGAGGAAGAGTCTTTGGCTTTGCAGGAGAGGGAACAGGATCGGGGCTTGAATGGCCCTTTACAGCTTTCAGCCAGCCCTCCTGTTTTCAACCCCGTCTCCTACCGCTGACTTCAGAAGTAGCTGTTTCCTCCAATTCTGGAGACTTTCTGGAAAATCTGTAGCAGGCAGGTATGGTCATTTTTACTGGTGGCTGTTTCTCCTCCATTTTCTTACTCAAAGATGGGTTTTAGCGTTCTCGTGGCTAAAAGCACCCATCAGCTTCCCTTTTTCTGGAATATCAGTTTCTCTTCTTTGCTACCAATTTCTCACCTGCTGTCTTAGTCCTTGCAGATTGTGGCCTTTTAAAAATTCCTTTACTGATGTGGTAGAATTTCATGGGGTTTGGGGAGCAAAGATAGAAGTGTATAATTGTTCAGTAGACCATTGAATTCAGTTCTTAAAGATTCGAAAGATACTGTAAAGAAAGCATTTTTCTATATGCATTAAAAATACTCAAAGCCTTCTATAGTTTCTGGCCTCTGATACTCTTTCCCAGATACTGTCTTTCTATTTCTGTCTCTAGAGAAACTGAAAATGATAGACATAGTCAAGAGCAGATGTGGGGCTAGTTGGAATGGTTATAGAAAAATAGAAATTGAGGTTTAGAGTATGCATGGGCGGCGGTTGTCATCAGAAGGAAGGAGAACGGGGGCGCAGAATTAGAGGCACTGGCTTCTGTGAAGCAATGACTAACTCGAGGAGCCTTTATGTAGGAGAAGCCTGTTGGTGGACTATCCATCCCGCTTCCAAACAGAGGTCCGAGGGAGAGAAGGTTCGAATTGGTGATGACCTCATCCTCGTCAGCGTGTCCTCTGAAAGATACCTTGTAAGTAACTCCTAACACTGGATGAAGTCTTTCACTGTCAAAATTTTTTCCTTTGGGAATAGATGGCCCAGGAGAACTGAAACACAACAGGTTGGGTAGGATAGGATGCTTTTACACAGTAAATTGAGAGCCGAAGAAATTCTGTGAAGTCTTTCACTGTCAAAATTTTTTCCTTTGGGAATAGATGGCCCAGGAGAACTGAGACACAACAGGTTGGGTAGGATAGGATGCTTTTACACAGTAAATTGAGAGCCGAAGAAATTCTCTGCCCTGCACGTGATCATGGTGCCTGGAATGTAACTGTTAGGTATCCTTTTGGATTATGGATCTGTGTCCAGCAAACTGTGCTACAATGCCCTTGGCACTGTTCGCACATTAGCTGCCATTATTGTGAATTTATCACATTGTTTAGCTCTTGTCCAGTGAAGAACGAGCCAAAAAGAATGAATTTCAGGAAAATAAGCTTATGTTAGAGTTTGAAATGTTTCAGCATGTGGGGTGTTGCAGAGGTTTGAAGAGGCAAAACTTTGAAGAGGTGGGGTGTTGCAGAGGTTTGCAGAGGTGAGATTTTGCAGCTGTGGATAAGTATTAAGCAGACATCATTGACATGAAGCCCTTGGCTGAGGATAGGGATGTCTGAAGATCACAGAAATGTCAGAGAAGCTTCTCATAGAGCCAACCCCATGGCAAGATTTTACATTGCCTAGTCCAAATGCTGGGTAATTTTTCCCATTTGTGAGTTCCCTTATCATAGAAAGAATAGACGTTTTATGACTTCATGTTGAATCAGGGATCCAGCCAAGGGGATGAAGTCAACACTTGTCTGCCACCTCTGTAGCCGAATACTTCCTCTTCCCTGAATAAAATGTCCCACTTCAAAGCTGCTTCGAGATTGGGTGGAGAAATCTCCCACAGGCTATGTAGAAAGAGCCAGGTGACAAAAGCTGTTTAATTTTTGAAATTCTAGGTGAGCTGCTTCTGTCAGGACTGGACTGGTGATTTAACAGATGTCTCCTTTCTGTTTCTGTTGCAGCATCTCTCAATATCCAATGGTAACATACAAGTGGATGCCTCCTTTATGCAGACACTCTGGAATGTACATCCTACGTGCTCAGGAAGTAGCATTGAAGAAGGTGTGCTTTTTATATGCATTCATCCCTGAGCCTGCCAGTCTCTCTTGTGCTGTATGTATTGACATTTTCTGCTACTTCCCAGCTCCCACCTGAATGTCTTGGCACACAGGTAGCATGGTTTTAGTTCACCTAAATTTCTTTCTCTGATATCCGTTTGGATTATTTTCTGTCCTGACTTCCTGTTACATGTGTATCCCTGACATTATTGTTGTTGATGATGTTTTTAATATGTTGCCTAATCTGTGAAAACTTGACATTATTTTTTAATTTTGGGGAGCCCACTGTTATGTTAGCACTATCTGCATTCAGGACCACCTTCCTTCTCTCACTGAGTTTTCATTTTTATTTACGGTTGCTCCTTGTAAGTGTAAGGACCTCAGCAACTTGTCTTAGAAGAGATTTTTTGCTAAGAAGGGTGATGTTTCTATTTCTCCCTGTGCATCTCTCCATAGGAGGCAAGAACTTCCTCTATAATAAAAGTGTTTGGTCATTTGTTCTTACTTGTATTTATGGAAGGCCACTTAAAAATAGTAAGTGACAGAGCTGGCTGGTTAGCTCAGTTGGTTAGAGCGTGGTACGGATAACACCAAGGTCCAGGGTTCAATCCCTGTATTGGCCAACCACCAAAAGAAGTAAAATAAAAATAATAAGTGAAATTTTCTCTGTATTTTATTTTTCCTTTGGAAATAACATCATCAAACTTTGTTCAACATATCCTATTTCTTGGAGCTGGGCAACGTCAATGCACCTTTCAAGTTATATAATAAACATACTGGCCTCACCCCACTCTTAGGTAATAACCACAGCTGAGCAGAATAATCAAATGTCAGTGACCTGTGGGTTATTGCATTACATTCTAGCACTTTTATAGGAAGATCAGAATTTTTAAAAATACTCACATCACAGGCTTTAGCCCTACAAAACCTAGTAGTTTCAAACTGGGAAGGCCCTTCTGTGCTATGATATTTGAGGAAGAAAAAAAAGGGAAAACTGAGAGTTGTCAAGGTGATACTCGAGTTTCAGAAGGCATCGTAGCTAAACTGAATAATCAGGAAAAGACAAATTCTTAACTCTTTTGGCAACGTGTGGAAAGCTTTAAAAGACAGGGTGTGTTTAGTCCTTTCTTTAGGCCAGAATTAACCCACCCTCGTCAGTCTGCTCTCAGTCATTCCCTTTCTCTCAAAACTCAGGAGCTCTGCGTTTAAATCTTTTCCTAGAAAGTTTTGGCTCAATCTCCATGTTAAGTTTTCATTTCCACTGTAGGAATTAAATTATTTCTCAGTCCCAACAAAGGGCATGTGGAGATTAATTAAGGAGTGTTTGCAAATTATGTCAAAAGTTATTTATGGAAGTATTGGGTGCCCTTTTGGGGCTGTAGCCTGGATAGCTCTTTACTTGAGTCCTCTGATTCTGTAGAAATGCCCTTCCAGCACCCACTAGTTAGAAACCCATTTCAGCCCTTGAGAACATAAGTGATCCTCGTCATGATACTTCTTTCCTGACTGTGGCTCAGGTGTATTTCAGTTAAGAGAGGTTGTGGTGCACTGGCACATGGCGGTTTTCTTTGTGTGAGTAGGATATTGATTGCAGGGGCCTGGGAAGTGTCAAGGATGGACTCCAGTTGGGGGCTGTGGCTCAGGTGTATTTCAGTTAAGAGAGGTTGTGGTGCACTGGCACATGGCGGTTTTCTCTGTGTGAGTAGGATATTGATTGCAGGGGCCTGGGAAGTGTCAAGGATGGACTCCAGTTGGGGCCTGGCCTCACCATCATGAGATGATGGAGAGTTTAATCAAGAGCTTGATCACAGAGGGTTTTAGTTTTCTAAATAAATTGGCTGTTAAGAATTCCCCTGCAGTATATCGTGAATTATTTTTAATGAAAAACAGGATATAACTTGAAATATTACTACAGTAAGATATAGAAAAATTGAAAGAAGACTTCTGAATATTTAAGGAAGTTTAAGAAAAGCTTGTCATGCCTAGGTGGAAAAAAAATGAACTAAGGAATATCAGACTGTCACTGTACAAGATGCATAGATAACAGCCTTTTCTCCTCTGGTGTGACTTTTCCTTCTTACTGTTTTAAACCAGCAACCAAAATAGTTTAAGACAGCCCCTAAAATGATCTAATTATGTGATTTAAAAAAAAATCCTGATACCGACATTAAGCATATTAAATCCATACATCTCCTGAGAACAGACTAGCCTGGAGAATCTTTTAATTCAGAAGAATAACAAATCCCGTTTCTTCGTGCAAGTTAAAACTCAGATGGGGGCTCCTCTCCTGCTATGATGTTCTTTGAATTAAGGCTCAGAATTTATCAGCAAACGAAGCGCTTGTTGATAGCAGCATCTACATTTGTCCACTCAGGGATGCTGGAAAGTAGTTCTTCTTTCCCCTTCTTGCTATAGGAGTAGTGTCCTATTTGCTCGTTGTTTGTTAAATGCATTCGAAAGCCAGCTTCCGCTTGTTGATAGCAGCATCTACATTTGTCCACTCAGGGATGCTGGAAAGTAGTTCTTCTTTCCCCTTTTTGCTATAGGAGTAGTGTCCTATTTGCTCGTTGTTTGTTAAATGCATTCGAAAGCCAGCTTCTCCAAAAACAGCTCTTAAAGACAGTTTGCTACCCTCCTTCCCAGCACCTTTTTTCTTTCTCGTGACTGCATTTTGATTTGGATTTTGCCACAAAGTACTCATATACATAGCGAGATTGTAGGAACTTATCCCGGAATTTGGTGTTGGGTATGTTTACATCTGAAGCAATTGGAAAACCCTTATATTGCTTACAGTAGCAACTTTATTTTCTCTTTGGTTTTTAATGGCATTGGGTGACACAATACTTTCAACTTAACCTTTCAATGCTGGACTTGTTCTTCCCTGAAACCCTATTTAACTTTCAATGTCAGAGCTGTTCTGGCTTTCTTGTTCTTCTGCCTGAGGCCTGAATTCATGAAATCCATTGTTTCTCAAATGCATCTCTTGCTGTTTTCTGTAACTGGTTCAGACCTGCATGAATTTACCCTTTGCAAACATGGTGTGCTCTTTATTAAACTTGCCATCCATTCATGATAGAATAAAATTCTCTTATAGGATACCTACTTGGTGGGCATGTAGTACGTCTGTTCCATGGTCATGATGAGTGTTTGACGATACCATCCACAGACCAGAATGATCCCCAGCACAGGTAAGCCCAGAGCTTCATCCTTCTAGCAATTTCCCATTGCAGGGGACTCAGACTAAGGAGTCTGCACCTGTATTTGGTCAGAGATGAATTCTGTACATGTCAGTCAGTTGACAAACCTCCCTCCAGCTGTGTGTTCCAGTTGTAAAAGAGGAATGGCAGTACAGGAGAGCTTGTTCCCAGAAAAGCTGTGTGTGCACGTGCTCCTTCTTAGGCAAGCAGTTTTATAATGCTTCCCAGTCCCTCATTTTCTTTGGTTGCTCCTGTGTCTAAGGAGTGTCCAGTATTCATGGACTGAAGCAACATTTCAGTGATGGAAATCAGGATAACAATTCTAGTAAGTCTGTGCCCTCACATTATTTACCAGGCTCTTCAAAGGCAAATCATCTCCATTCTTCCCATTTCATGTGCTAAGTAATTAAGTGGAGTTTGATGATTTGGTTTTGCTTCTCACCAAATAGCACTGGAGAAACCAAATGTCAGTATCCAACAGGAGCTGGATTTAGGAGGAGGTGGTGCCACGAGCGACACTTAGAAGATGCTGCTGAGGGTGATGCTTTCTTTGATCTTATAGTTGACCCCTAGATGCATGGTTTTCAAAAGTCCAAAACCATGAGATGGAAGACAGAATCCAAGTCTTAAATTCATACTAAAGAGTTCTTTAGTATTCCATTTATCATCAAAGAAACAGAACATAAAAAGCTTGGCCCTGTAACTATAAAAATCTGATATTAAAAAAAAAATCAAATTTCAGGTCTGAATTAGACTCAGTTTGGGACAGCAGTGACTGTGATCTGGTGATAATTCTTTCTTTCCCTTTTGTGTAATGCCTACAGGAACCTTTTCAGCTGCATTTCTTCTGCTTCCTTTTAAACAGGGGCTCACGAGTCCTCACAACTTGGAGATCGTGTAGGTCAGGCTCCTTCCAAAGGTCACACACTGGCTGATTTCAGATGGGAGCCTAGAAGCCAGAGCTGCTGGCTCTCCATCAGGGCTCGCTCCTTATTTGATGTACTAAAGGACCCCCAGAGACAATGTGCTTGGACGTATCATTGTGCATCTTAAAAAACATCCATTGGCAATATGTATCCCTTAGAGTTCTGAGTATCTTCCTGCTTGCTGTGTCCTCTGAATACCCCTACATGGGAACCAGATGTGACACAGAGCATTGTCTAGGACACATAAAGCACAGACCTATGTCAGGTGCCATGATTAATTCAGTCACTGCCTCCCTGGCACTGGTCCAGTGGTTGACAGTTATCTCTGAGTAGGGAAGTTAGGTTGACCTGATTTCCCTTAGAATTAAGAATTCTCTACATTAAATAATGTCACGTGATCCTATTCCATTGAAGTTTTCTTTTCCTTTTTTTTTAAACAGTGAGATTATACAGTAGTCCTATACTGTCTCTTTTATATCTTACTCTGCTGCATCAAGAGGAAGGTTTGCAAAAGTTTTGTGAGTGAGTTTTACAGGGTTATCTACATATAAGATGAAGCACTCCAGAACTTCACTAGCTCTTTCTTCCCTTTCCTGTTCCACTTTTAAGGGTAGGGATTTGGAAAAAGTGAAGTACCCCCGTGTGCGTGGCCCTCTCTCTCATGCCAACCCCTCCCACCTGTCATTAGAATTAAAGCCATATTAGAAACAGCCTGGGCAGAAATTATGCTGCTTGGAAAGGCTTGTCATTTGGTGGGCGTTCCTGTTAAGTGATTCAAAAAGATCCTGCTTGAAAAGAAATGCTGGGAAAGTGTTTCAAAGAAGGTAATGGAGAGAGCGAAGGAGATGGAAAGGAGCTCCCAGATGGGCTCACTGAGGCAGGCATGTGTGCCGTTGCTGAAATGACAGTAGAGCTGGCCGTCCATGGGCTGAGGATTCTATCAAGCAAAGGCTCTAATCTGTGTTTGGGGAAAAAAGAAATTCACCAGTAAAAATATCCCTTTCCTTCATAAGGAAGTATGAAGGGTTGAAACTGGGGCCAGTAAGCAGCTATTCAGCGTACTGGAGCCTACGTTTTTGTATCAGTTGTCTCTCAATCAAAGCAGGATGGCTTGGTGTTATTTGATGTCTAGGCAAGTGAGTGATAAGTCTCATCATTGTCTTCCGTTGTCAGGTAAATCCTCAGAACTGGCCAAGGTGGCCAGGGACACTGAACTCTGGGGGAGCGGGAGGGAATAGGACATGGTGAAGACGCTAAGAGACTACAGCAGCCACTAAAGCAAGCAGGCGCTCCTTCGTAATGGTGCCAACTCTCCAGCTGAAATTATTTTTATTCCCTCTAAAGCCTGAGAGCAGCCAGGCTAGGTAGAGAGACTGACAGTCCCAGAGTGGAAACCCAAGATCAGCAACCTGACATTCTGAGCTCTGATCCTGGGCTCTGCCTCTGGCTTGTCAGACACTGTGGGATAAGTCACTTAACCTATTAAAGCTAAGGCCAAGCTGTCAGCCAAGCTTTCAAAAGCACCTCAGTTCACCGCCCACTCTACTCCTCCCCTTTGAATTGGTTTAGAGAACGGAACGGTTTGTTCAACCTCAGTAACCTTGTGAGATTAAATGAGCAAGCCGCCCAAATGTCTCAGATGAGAAGAACGAACCTTCTAGAATCCTTCAGATGTCAGGGGTAGAGAGGCAAATGCCAGCTCCACTGCTATCTCACCGGTGACCCAGGGAGAGCCACTCCAGCATCTCCACCTGAGTGGGGAGAAGAAGCATTAGTGAAAAGCTCAGCAAATTTCCCTGAGTGGCTGGGAGGTCAGCGCAGTATCATTTTTATTCTAGGCCTGGTACAGAGACACCTGGGGTATCAGAACTCTAAAGTAATGTGGGATTTTCTTTTCTAATATTTACTAAGTATTTTCTGATAATGTGTACATTTGAGAAAGGTTTGGAAATGCCTTCTATAATCCCCCTTGCAGAGGTAACCACTGTTAATGTACTGTTTTGTTGTATTTCTGTGCCACAAATGTGTTTTTCTATGCATGTTTATAAACATTTATCTATATTTGAACAAAACTTGAATAAATCTATGATACATAATAGTTTGTACATCCATGAACATCTTTGTGCACATTGTACTTAAAACACATTAAATTCTCACAACCATTCTGTGTGGTAAATACCCTTTTTAGACCCACTTTGCAGAGGAGGAGATGGAGGGACAGAGAGTTAACAGGGCTTAGCCAATGTCACACAGCTAACAGATTCTAACTCAGGTCTGTCTGACTTCCAAGCTCATGTTTTGAATGAACTGATAAAATATACTACTTCTCCAGAAAAAAAAAATGTATGCATTTCCCATTCACCTCTATTGATAACCTGTTATCTCCAAAAATCTTTCATGTTTTGAATGAACTGATAAAATATACTACTTCTCCAGAAAAAAAAAAAATGTATGCATTTCCCATTCACCTCTATTGATAACCTGTTATCTCCAAAAATCTAGATCAAGATTATTCTGGGGCTTGAGTGATTCAATCGTGATATATACAAATCCTCTATAGAAGTAGGGTTTTAAATTAGTGAACTTAAATGCAGTTAAATGATCAGTCTTGATCAAAGGCCACAAGATTCTCAAAAAGTGGCTGGATTAAGTATACCAGGTAGTCTGGGGCCCACTGTTCTTATGATGTTCTTTTAAACTATGATAGTTCTTTTAATTCTACACAAACTGTGATCTAGGTAGGTTGATACCCATTGTACAGATGAAAAACTGAGACTTTGCTAATCACTAAAAAAAAATCAGACTAACGCAAATTGAGAGACATTTCACAAAATATCCAATCAGTACTCCTCAAAATTGTCAAAATCACCTGGCAAACTCTCAAAAGTCTGGTCCAGAGCTAAGTTCTAAAATTTCTATGATTTTGTTTTTAAAGAAACATGAAAAAAAGGAAACAGTGAGAAACTGTAGCAGATCAGGGAAAACAGGGTATGATGACTAAATGCAACATGGTATCCTGAATTGGATCTTGGAATGGGAAAAATACTTCAGGGAAAAATTAAGGTGAAATCCAAATAAACTCAAGTTTAGCTAGTAATGACATACCAATGTTGGTTTCTTAGTTTGGACAAATGTATCATGGTGTAATGTAAGATAACATTGGGGGAAACTGAGGGAGACTATAAGTATCTCTCAGTACTATCGTTGCAACTTTTTTTGAACGTAAAATTTTCCAAAATAAAAATTTTATTTAGAAACACATTAAAAGATGATTCTTAATGCAGGAAAGGAGGCAACAGTATAGTAATAAAATCATGGACACTGCAACAACTGAGCGTAAAGCTTTGTTCCAAGTATCCTAGAACAGTGGAAATGAGTTCACACTGTATAGAATATGTGTTTTTAAAGTAAAAATATGTTTTTAAAAGATATAAAACTACATCAACAAGCTTAACCTGAAGGAACTGAAGCATTCTGTGCCTGGTATCATGGTGTATAAGCTATTTTCACTCCTGATGTAGAAATGGAAACATTCTTGTCCCTGCCTTTTCACTGTCCACCTAATGAACCATGAGTCTATGATGTTTATAGGGTGAGAAATTCCTTCCTGTTAAGCAGCTTTTATCCCTCGTGAGAGAGTGAGACTGGGAAACCATACCTTTCTTTGACTCTGCGTTTTACCGACTCCAAGAGGACTTAGGCAAACAGCAGGGCTGGGCAGCCTGTGCAGGGAGCTGTTCCTCGCCCAGTGCTGATTGGTGCCATGCACGTGTGAGCTGATCTCCAACTCTGCTCACAGGAGGATATTCTATGAAGCTGGGGGAGCTGGGACAAGAGCCAGGTCTCTGTGGAGAGTGGAACCCCTTCGGATAAGGTAATTGAGGGTCAGGTGGTGCTCTTATCAAGTTTACTTTCTTTTCCAGTACAGTCCATTCTAAGTATTTCATTTGCTCCAGATCACCTGGCAAACTCTCAAAGCCCTTGGTCCAGAGCTGAGTTCTGAAATTTCTATGACTTTGTTTTAAAATAACAACACACACATGCATGCACACACAAACAGGATTTCCAAGATGCTGTTTCGACTCTGAGGCTGGACAGCTCCAGCCATGGCTAGTGATAAAAGCAAGCTGGGACATGGCCGCTGAAAGCCATCAAAGTTCTTCTCCCATTTATTCTCTTAAATACATTCTCTGAAACCTGGATAACTCTTCCCCATCATCTCAGTAGCTTTGTGAGCTTTAAATGACAGAAACAGACAGGTAGTCATGATGGCATGGGGTAAGGAAGATTAAAACTTTTCTGGAAATGTAGCTGTGAAGATAACAGTATTTACCAGAACTTTTCAGACACAGTATTGCACATGGGCGGACAAAACAGGAGGCTGAGGCTTTCTAGCTGCAAGCCTGAGTAACAACATGTGGTTGCTAAACTTCACACTTCTGAAGAAGGGTCTGGCTAAGTGCAGGACCTCTATTTTGCTGAAAGGGTCTGCACATTAGGCTAAAGCTGAACTCTTTGGGACAAATGAGAAGGACTGAGCATCTCCATCTGGTTTTTCTTCTCTGCCTTCCCCTCTAGCTCTCTGCTCAGTCTCTTCCTGAATACATGTTCAAAGTAAAAGCCTCATGAGGGCTGTATGCCTCCACAGGGGTCCTCAAGATAATCCACTGGAGAGCAGAAGAATATACTAGAACTTCTCTTACAACCCCCTCCTCCTCCACATACATACAGACATATAGGTGCATTCGGATTTTTTGCAGAGTGGAGGCTGCTGGTTTGAGGAATACTGGTTTTAAGGAGCATCCCCTTGTTAAATGGCTGGGGACATCTGTATTCTCTTCCCAGCCCCATTAAAAATCTGATGTAATAATCTCTTGTTCTCAGGATATTAGGCCTTGGTTCTTGCTTATTGGGCTTTTAAAAAAGTCAAACTAGGTATGTATATGTAATTCTAGTTATGGTTATTTGTTTCCACAGAGACCTAAACATGAAGAATTTAAACCTTTTATCAATGTAATTTGGATTCATTGGTGCTCCAAAGAGTAGAATAAAGTGGAGAATGATTTTAAAATTTGACACATATCTTTTAAACATTTTATTCTAACTTAAAAGGTAAATTCTGAGTTACAGATTATTCAGTAGATAATTTCTCACCTAACACTTAACCATAACTTTTGTTGAATGCTAATCTTTTGATGTAGGACCATAAAAAGGTTGGCATTCAATATGAGATCTCCCTTATCTCGATCCTCTTATCATGCTTTATTTTTAATAGAATTTATCTCTTAACATAAATTCTTAATATTTACTTATTATGCTTCTGTATTATCTGCCTCTGTCTTGCAAGTATAAGCTGCACAGATACTTGTAGCATTTCTCTTGAAGATAGGAGGACTCTTTGTGATAGTAAAATGTTTGAATTCAGATGGCACATTTGAGAAGGGTTTGCTTTCCCAAAAACAAGTTTCCATTAGAAGCCAAGCTTCCCATCCATTTTGTGACTATTTGCATCAAGTCACTTCAGTGGAGTGAGGGGAAAATGGGAAACTTGGGACTTCCAGTTACATTAAAACATTGACCTGCCCTTAATATTATGTTCCTTGTTGGTGTCCTTAAGAGGGGTCAAAAGAGAGCACCATGCCGAATTGTAGGCAGACATGAAACCCTAGAGCAAACCAGGAGACTGGAGCATTGTCCCTTAAGGATGGACACCAGAAGGGTCCTAAGTCTGCTAGCATTGTGTAAGAAAGCACAGCATAAGTATTGAGAAAGGCTTATTTTAGGATAAATACAGTTTCTTGTCTGTTTTATCTGACTAGCTGGAGTGGCAGTAACATCAGATGGGGCCAGGCTTTCCGACTCCGGCATCTAACCACAGGTCACTACCTGGCCTTAACAGAGGACCAAGGCCTTATACTGCAAGACCGGGGAAAATCAGACACCAAGTCCACAGCCTTCTCTTTCCGGGCATCAAAGGTAAGGTGTGATGAAATAGACTCTGACCCTGTTCTAAAAGTGAAAACTGCAACCTCCAGGTAGAACTATGGCTGAGAAGAAAAGAGGCTGGAACAGAGCAAAATTGGAAATTAGACCTGTGAGAAACACTTGCTTCTTTTATCTTTTGAGTTGAGTTTAATGGAGAAATATGTACCTTGGGTGAAAGTTGAAGTCTTTAGTAATAGGAGAGTGGAAAGCCCTAGAAAATGCAAGGATCACAAGAATGGACGTTGTTGCCCAGTGGCTAGTGGAAAATACTGTTGTTTAATACATTCTAGGTTGTTTTTAATAACTTGTAAGTTATACTCCTCATTCTTGTAAAGCAAGGGTAACATGGAAGCATGGGTTGTACAGCTACATTTGTTTAAATCAAGGAGGTGATTCTTTTAGAAAGATGCAGAGAAGACTTAATTCTGGACAAGATGTCATCTTGCAATTATTTGTATTATACAAAGTTATCAGTACCTTCTTCATCCTTTTCCTTGGCTATCTCTCTTAGCTTTTTCCTATCCATCCCCAGCCTTCATTAAGAATGTATACTGTGGTAGTTAGGGTAACCCTAAATGAATAGCTTTGCCATTGGATGTGTGTATAGACAACTAGTTTTTCTAACCTCCATCTTTAGTGTCCAGCCAGGTTTTGATTCTGCATAACTCAGAGTTGGATCTGGTTCTTGCTTTGCTGGGTGCAGGCTCTCCTCCTTAAACACACTCTCCTGTGCTTCCCTCCCCGAGCAGTAGTGATGTTCCCAGCAGAAAGAGGTTTAGGACTCAATTTTTTAACAATGCAAGAACTTTGAGTCATCTTGCCAGCTCTTGCCTGTCATAGGTCTGATGTGACAGAGTAGATGGAAGACAGAAGCCTAAGAAAGCGTTTCAGGATCTGGGTGATGGTGCAGGAGTTTGGAAGACTCAGTGGGAAAGCAGGGAGATGGAGACAGTGAGCTGTGTCCTATGTGAATGGGGTGGGTGGGGGTAGGGGTGTTTATCTGATCTTCTCTGTATGTTGGAGAATCTGGGAAACAGAAAAAGAGACTCCTAGGATGAGCACTGTCTGGGCTTCAGTCACATGTTTTGGGAGGTTGCTGGGTGAGCTGGGCCATGAGTCTTTTGGTAATGATAAGCTTCCTACCCACGTTCTCTGTCAGGTTGCATTAGTCTGTGACAGCTATGACTATGAAATCGAGGGCCATGGGACAGCTGCAGGTGTGTGTTAGCATCCTTAGCAGGCTGCCTTGCGAGGAAGATGGCAGGTACCCCTGTGGATCTTTCACGTGCATAATAAAATGGGGGTGTGGTTGAGCCCTGCTGAAAGGTGACCAAGTCCAAGCACCAGCTGCAGTTATTGGCCTGGGCCTGGCTCAGATGGAATCAAACAGAGTCTTTGAGCAAGCTATAGGAAGCATGTAGAATAACGAGCAGAATGTAATCTTGATCAAGGTCCCCAAACATGCACTTCAGCAGGTTGATCCAGATCAAAGTGGAGATCTGGGTTGTACTGTTGTCTCTAAAATGCAGCACCACAACCTTCTTCCTTCAATCTGCAATGGCACGGCATGGGACACAGCGTGGTTCAAAGTTGTCTAGATCTGGCCTTGACTCCCATCAGCACTCAGACCTGGAACGCAATTCCTAATCTATTTGCACCTCATTTAAAGTCTGTCATAAAAGATGCGTTCAGCTCCGACCCCCACCTGCCCCTCCATCATGTCGTGCCTCTCGCTTGATGTTGCCGTGAGCTCTAGCATACTATTTATTGGTCTTGGAACATGTTATTTTTTTCTCATCACCAAAACCATGCCCAGCCTTTTATCCCTCTGCACGCTGCCACTAGTGAGCTCCTTCTCACACCTTCAGACAAGTGTCAAGTGCCCTTTAGGAGAGGAAAACTTGTTCACACTTCTGTGACAGCCATTGCCCTCTTGACCAGGAGCCCTTGGATAACAAGAACCACAAATACCCCCGCTTTATTTTTCATCCTGGAACCTCTCTCTCTATGTCGCATACAGTAAGTCTGAAAATTTCTTGCTGAGAGGATACATAAATGTGGTTATACATTGAAATATGGAACAAAACCCACTTCCTTTTAACCGCCATCATCACAAACATGTTCTGCCATGATGTGTAATCATTTTGCTATCATAATCCTATTCCTATACACATTCAATGAGAGAGATTCATTTTATTTTGAACACCTAAGTCAAATTTCTATGAACTTGATTTCACATCTTTTTTCCACGGTCTTGACATCACAAGGCCATTCCCCAAGGACTGTCAGATAATGTGATTTGTTTATTCTGACACGGCAATACTTTCTATTTAGATGTCATGTCTCAATGTCAGTTTACAGCACTGAACTCCTTTCAGGGAAGGGCAAATAATGTTAAAGCAGTCCTTATTACATGTGTACATTTATTTTATAGCCACTTTTAAAGTGCTTGAAAAACCCACTGTACTTGACTATAACATAAGTCTTGAATGATTGAGATAGAATCTCAGATTTTACCTATTATTGTTGGGTAAGGGCATGGAGCTGTCACTGTTCTCAAATAGAGGACATTTTCCCACAGTGTGTAAAAACATTAGATTCAATTTAGCAAACATTTATCAAACATCTACTGTGTTCTCAGCACTGTGTCCTTGGCTAAATGTGACTTCTCCGCCTGCCTTTCATGTGATCTTTAACCTCGGCAGCCTGAGGCAACCTCAAGGTGGCAGCTGGGCTCATGGTGCATCAGTCTGTGCAAACACTGGTGCTCAAGCAGTGCTGCTTTTGCCAGTCCCTTGCTCCATCTATTTCCTCATCAAGTTATTAGTTGGGGAAAGGGAGGGGATGAAGCAAAGGAGGGGAGGGAAGAAGAGAAAACATGAACATTAAGATTCAAATATCTATAGATACCACCAATTGCAGCTTCATTTTAAATAAAATCCACAAAGGATTTTAAAATTTTAATTAATATGCTTTCCCTAGTCTTTATTGTTCAAAGTGGACTAAATACAGAGGCATTCAAAGAAAAGCATGGGCTTTGAAGTGGAAGAAACCTGGCTTTGAACCCTGGCTCTGCCTGTTGTGTTCAGCCTTAATGTCCCTTTTTGTTAAAATAGGGATAAAGAAGTGTGCCGTGAAGGATTGTTGTGAGGGTCAGATGAGACCAGCAGGATGACCTGAGAGTCTGATTCCGTATCCCTAAAATGGGAGTGGTGTGCCAATCTCAGGGTGATGATGTAGGGATTAAATGAGAAATATGGAGAAAAGAGCCCAACACAGTGACTTCTGCTTAAGAAATGTGCCTTCCCTGGAGAGGCAGATAAATCTGTTCCTGCAGAAGACTGTAGCCAGAAGACTATCCTTGTCTTTCCACCCAGTGGAGGCTTTGCAGCCAGTCTTGGGGCCTGCTAGACAACTGGCAGTGTCCTGCAGTGTGTGACTTTTTTTTAAAGCAATACTAAGACCTCAAATTCTAGATGAGAAATTCAGAAGGGGACTACACTGATGTAGGAATGAACCGAAAGGTGATTCCTCAGGGTTTCTCCAGTGACACTGAGGAAGGAGTGAGATTACCAGGACTTTCTCGAATATTCACTCCAGGACTCATGAATGGGGGCCTCATCTTCCCATATCTACTTTTCCTCCGAAACTTTTTTGGGTGCTGACAGTCTATGTTAGAAAAATACTTTCTTGTCTTCTGTTGACATAGGTGGCTAATTATGTTAAACAACAGAGTTCGCTCTAATTAATAAGCATGAATCAGGACCCTCTGCATTCTAGGTGCCATCCTAGATACTAATGCCATAACTTATAACTCACCTGCTGTATTCACCCATTTCTGTGGTTTATAACAAAGTGCCTGAAACTGGGTAATTTGTAAAGAAACAATATTTATTGCTTACAGTTTCAGAGGCTGGGAAGTCCAAAGTCCAGGGAATACATCTGGGGAGGGCCTTGTCTGCGGGTAACTGCAGTGGCTCAGGTTATCACATGGCGAATATGGTGGAGCAGAGAGAGCGAGCTTCTCATGAGCTGTCCTTATAAAGCCAACAGAGCCACTCCCATGACCATCATTAAACCATCAGTGGATTAATCCATTCACCAGGGCACAGTCCTCACAATCTGATCACCTCTTCAAGGCCCCACCTTTCAATTACCATAATAGAATTTTCCACCCTCTTAACACCATGAGTGCAGATTAAGCCTCAGTGAGCTTTGTGGGGACATCCAATCCACAGCACCCATCTCTAGAGATATTTCTTTTCGGTTCATCGTTCATATGGATGTTGGAACAGTTATTCTGAGATGCAACCCTTGTGTCTCAGTGGCTTTCCATTTATACACTAACTTTTCCCAAGAGGTTTTCCAAACAGTGATTTTGCATTAAACAGAGTTCAATAGGTTATGTTCTTTTTTGTTGATGTTGTTTTTTGCATGTTATTGTAGGACTAATAAGAGCTTATACTATTATAATATCCCCTTGGACTCTTAGAAGAAGATACAGCATTTGTCCAAAGTCCTCTTTTCCTGTAGAAAGGCTGCTAACATTGTGAATTTGAGAAACATGGACCTATAGCACAGAGTTCAGAGTTCTTAATTTTTGCTCAAGACCCTTCCTGGATTTTACCATTCTCCTTGCCACATTATGCCCTTCTTACTAGAATGCAATCCCCTTCCCTCCTCCCCCCCAACCCTGCCATCTCCCCCACCTGAGCTCACATTACGTATAAATTTTGTATAAAACCATCCCTAATTCCCCAGGCAGGGTTGTTCTCTCTTCCAAACTCCAACGTACTTTGGATATAGGCCATATGTCATTATTTTTTGTTTGTTTTATTGTATTTGGGGGGGGGGGGTTGGTTTGGTTTCTTTTTTTTTTTTTTTTTTTCCCCTTTTCAT